CTTTTTTCTTTCTTTTTTTTTCTTTACCTTTTTCTTCTTTCTTATTTTTATCCTCCATATCATTTCTTTCTTTTTCTTCTTCTTTCTGCCCTTTTCTCTTTTATCTTCTATACCTTTATTTTCCTGGTACCTTTATCTAATTCTACAAATATCCCTCTATCTTTTAATAAGATCCTTTGTCTCACTTCTTGCTCCTTCTCATCTACCACTGTTTAATTTTTCAATTTTTTCCTCTTGTATTCTCCCATTCCCATCATTTTGTATCTTTAATAGTATAACCATTAAGCTATATTAATTTTCAGATAGCTAACTGTATGTCATTACTGTTGGATTTCTTTCTATCATTAGTGAAGGTATAGTTGTTGCATTTAATTCATATTTGCTGTGTATCAATGTCTCAGTTGTCAGTGTATACACTATGATTATGGATTTCTTTTCTTTTCTATGGTTAAGATTGGTACACTATTTAATCTTATGTCTTAGGCAATATATTATTGCTGCTTTGCTTGATATTGCCAGGGTTGCATAACTGTTGTTATTAACTGGTTTTCCCTGTATGCCAGCTCCCCAATTATCTTTATAATGTTAATAATACTGCAATCAATTCTCAGAGAACTGAGTACTGGGCTAATTGCATTACAATCCTCCCCAAAATCAGCTCTGGGGACTATAGTTAGCCATGCCAGAGAACATCACTAAAAAACAGACTGACTAAAGAGATGTTCTCCATAACAGCACTGAAGTTCTTCCACTAAAGCATCCACAAAGCTAGCCACAAAATAAAATGAGCATATAAAACAAAAACAATATAAATATGAGAAAAAAGGCAACAAACTGCTTTGTACATCTCCCAAATCCCCCAAAGCTGATCATGAGGGCATCAAGAAGGAAGAAAGCAAAAGCCAGACATCCAAATTATTTGAAAGGATAACAGGAGATTAAAAAAACAGACCAGATGAAGTTCTAGGAGGTACCACAGAAGATATATAATTTTCAAGTGCTTGGTGGCACCACAGAAGGTAAACTAAAAAGAGAATAGAAGCATTAAATAAAACAACCAGGGAGCTTACAAAGGACACTAAGGAGCTAAAGGTGTAGGGAAGGTGTGATACGTATGGGAAGAACAAAAAGGGAAAAGAAAAAAAATGTGAGAATGAAAAGATGAAAATAAAGTGTTTGTAGATGGGGAGGGGAGGAGGGGGTGAAGGGAGGGCAGAGGTAAGGGGAAAAAAATGAGAATCAAGACTTGCCATGTAAAGGTACATGACCCCAACAATGAATGTAACTGTACTGTATCCCTAAATGTACCAATAAACTCAATAAAAAAAAAAAAAGACACTAAGACAATGTCAGCTGACCTAAACAAATAATACAAAACATGAATACTGGTTTAGCCAAAAATTAAGAGTCCATGAAAAGGTTCCAAACTGAAATCTAGGAGATTAAAAATTATTTTGAAAAAATGAGCAGCCAAAGCCATACTACAAAAACAAGGAACAAAACAAAAATCAAATATAACACATGTTGGCAAGGATGCCAAGAAAAAAGGAATCACAACCTCCAATGGCACACGTTTACAGTAAAAGCAGAGAGCTGGGAGGCTCACAGGTTCGTGCTGTGCTCAATGAACTGACTAGTCCAAGCCTGCAAAATCAGAGCAGCGGGACTGTGATTCCTTCCCCCACATCCTAGTAGTATGCACCAGTGAATGATGGCACCCTTGCCAGGCTCCCCAGAAAGCACATCCATCTCTGGTAAGCTTCTCCAATTCTACAACTTTTTCAACCTCCTAAAGTCTCAGGTAACCCAACCATTTGGAAAGAAAAGCAGTACTATCTAAACTGAAAGACACAAAAGTCCAATATCATGAGATACAGGGAACGGTGTCTACATAAGAACTATCCTTAGGATTTGCTATTCAAAGGAGGAAAAGCTATAGAACTTTCTGTGTTTGTATTGTCTACGTGAACCGGAGAAACTCTTGTCAGAACTCAGCGTTTCCTAGGAATGTCCACAGTGCCTGCCTCCCTAAGATTACACTAGTATTACAAATACCACACCTGTAACCTACAAGCACAAAGACTGTAAAGACATGCCTACCATATGTACCACTTTTATCATGAAATACACACACACACACATACACACCTGTCAAAAGTGTGCAGCATCTAAAGAGATGTGGTTGCCTACATGGTTATTCTGCTGCAGAAATAATTTTAGAATCTATTAAATCAGCAGCCTCACTGGACATCCATCCTGAAATATTTGTTGTCATATGCCAAAGCCCAAGGCAATTTAACATACTATAGACAAAACTTAAGCTGCACTCTGTGCCTATTAAGGGGATGTGAAATGTGCAGACATGGTGCTTAAAGAGATGATGCTTCCAATTCACAACAGCAAGCATGTATTTCCTGCACTCCATGTGACATGGAAAGACATCCAGATACAGAGACTAAAACTGAATCTCTACCTAGGGTTATGGATAGAAAGAAAAATGACACTTTGAGAGAAAACAGATCGGGAGGCATAATGAACTTCTGCTGAATAAGTACTCTGTTGTAATAAGTTATTCCAACAGTAGTAACTCCAGTTTCTAAGAGAGTAAATATTCAATAGATTAAATAGAAAAAGAACCTAGACAAAAGTATAGGGACACAATGCGATATGAATCTAAATGTGGTTTAGGAAGCTTTCAAAGAGCTCACTATTGCAGTATTTTCTTATCCTTAAGTGAAATAAAGGAATTTACCATTTAAAGTACAACAGGTTTAAGAAAACTGAAAAAGGGCATATGCAGCAAACTGGTTTGTTTTTTTTTTTTTTTAAATCATTTGGCTACTTTCCAATTCAGGAAATATGGTGGACTGAGTATTTGTGTGCCTTTTAATTACAATTAGATTCTGGAGAATGGGGAGGGGGATAAAGAGAGACAGACAGACTGAAAGACAAAGAGACAGATGGAGACAGATAGGGAGACACACACACACACACACACACACACACACACACACACACACACACACAAAGCCACAGAGACACAGAGAGGTTTTTCTGAGACAGAATCTTATTATATATAGTTCAGGCTCTCCTTGAACTCATGATTTTTTTGCCTCAGCTTCTTGAGTACTGGGATTATGCCATCCCCAGTTTGAATAATTTCTTTTCTTTTTTTAACATACAAGTAAAAACTTTTATTTGTCTACACCAAGATTAAACTACTTAACAGAAACACAGTCATGGTGAGAAGCTGGTACACACAGTACTTCATTCGTATCAAGATCCTTAGAGGGCCGGGTATTTAGCTCAGAGGTTTGGTGGCCTGCCTTACAAGCCCAAGGACCGGAGTTCAATGCCCAGTACCAAAAAAAAAAAAAAAAAAAA